TATACATTAACATATCATCTGCAAATAAGGATAGTTTTACTTCTTCTTTTCCTATTTGGATTCCTTGTATGCCTTTTTCCTGTATATAAGACATATTTTAAAAGACATTTGTATAAAAAAGATGTGGTATATTTACACAATGGACTATTACTCAGCAATCAAAAGGATAAACTCTTGCCCTTTGCAGCACTACAGATGAAGGTGGAAGGGATTATGCTCAGTGAAATAAGCCAGAAAGAAAAAGAAAAATACTGAATGGTCTCACTTATAAGAGGAATGTAGAGAAAATAAAAAATGAATCAGAAAAAAAGTAACTATAAAAAGGAAAAATCAAAATCATCAGGCAAATATAGATCAGAGATATTCTATAGGAGAGGAGGAGAGAGAAGGATCAGGATGGGGTGGGAAGAGCGCAAGGGACTATGGTGATGGTGCATGGGGGAATGGGTGGTGGGAATTTCATGGGGAAATCATACATTGTATGAAGGATGATAGGATAATATAATGAATATATTTAAAAAATTAAAAATAAAAGGCATTTGGGAACTCCCAGCCTGCCCAACAGAAAACCAATTACCCAGTAGGGGTTGGACATACCTGACCTGGCCTCCCCAGCATGTAAGGATCTCTTTCCTCTCACATCCCAGATATCTCAGGCACGAGTGAAACGTGGGACAAGATGGAGAAGAATATTCTGGACAATCTCTCGCCTGACGTACAGGAGGACTATGGCCAGGACTATATTTTGCAGCTACGGAGTTATCTCAAGTTTGTGGACCAGCAAACCAACTCAGACCTGTCCCCGGTGCTTCTGGATATCCAGCATGCTATCTCCTCTAAGAGCCCCTGTGCATTTTACTCATCTGGAATTTTTTCTTACATGTGGCTCTGCTTTGTTAGTTTTACCCCGACTGGCATATTTGATCATTTCACCCAAAAACTTTTTGATTTCACAAAGTTCATGCCCAAAGCTCTAAGGAAGTCTGACTGGAAGAATAAAGCTATGTAGGCAAATTGATGGAAAATGCTGTGAATGAAAGGGAAGCCTGAGCTCCTGAAAGGTGGGCTTCTCCAGGCATCTAGAACAGAACTTCCCAAAAAATGTCACTTTGGCCTATAGATTATTTTGACCTAAAGTCAATCAAGGCCCTGCAGGTTCAAGAGAAACTTTTACCACTGTTATAAACTACCCAGAAGAAATGGAAATTAGGGAGTATTACTCAGATTTAGGGGTATCTCCAGAAATAACCTTTCTGTTAGAGACATCCATCTAGTTAGTGGGGTAAATACATAATTACAGAGCAGCTGTTCCCTTTGCCTTGTGAGTCCCCTCCTGCATCTTGAAACCCAAGGTCTCTAATGTAGTTCAGGATCAATATTCCTATTTATCCTATTTACTTTTGAATTTATATCTATGTAGATTCTCTGCATAAACATAATGCCATTAAATTTGCTTTCTCCTACTAATCTTTCTGGTGTTAATTTGATTGCTTGACTTGGGGGATATTTCCCTTCTGCCCTTCAACTTTCATTATAATTGGGGTTTCCTCCCTTGCATTCCCTGTGAATTCTGTTGGTTGAATAAAACTCAGTGACAAATAAACTGGAGAAATAACCACCGTGGAGAACATTGAGAGTCTAGTATGTATTTCAAACATTCACTCATCTAGTTCTCATCAGAGATAGGTATCTTTACCCCTACTTAATAAGTAAGGAATTGAGAATCAGAGAAGTAAAGATCCTAATTCACTGTCACCCCACGAATGATAGGCAGAACTGAATTGAAATCCAGACTGGACTCCATTGCCTGTTAAGAGAGTAGAACAAGATGACCAGGGATCATCTCCTGATTTCAACAACCCATGTGATACCTGCAAAGTCCCTTTTGCCAGGTAATGTTCCATATTTACAGATTTCAGTGATTAATGCACATTGTAGTTCTAAAGACTGATCACACCTACTGACTCAGACACTTGTGTGTTAAGGAGCCCACCAGATAATGGACAGTAAGTTCCAGAACCACTGGTCTAAAATATTGAGTAAGCAGGATGCAGGATTTATGTGACCAGGGCTCAGGCGACAGGGGGAACTATTTAAGACAGTGGGGGAGAGATGGGAAGCATCAAGATGAGAACAGAAGGTAGAGACCACTTTCTATTCTGCAGCCTCCCAGGGGGTTGAAAACTGTGTGGCAAGGAAAGATGCTGTACAAAGATGCAGGTGGATCTTGGATTTCAGAAGAGAACCTACTAGTTGGGTGCTTACAGACAATCTTGGAGTTACCTGAGAGGGAATATACTCTGAGATGGAGAAAGATTGACAACCCTCCAATCACTCCCATTTGATTGCCTTGGATGTGGTGGGAGTGGGGAGTTATGGGAAAGTCCTAGAGGTTCCTTTATAGAATAAGAAGAGCTTGGATTGAAGAACCAGGGTGCCTGTGGGGCGAGGGGGTTGGGGAATCCTGTAACAGAGATCTGTGGGTAGCAAAAGGCAGCTGCAGTGAGGATAATAATTTCAACTGGAAGCCAGTGAGGATGGGACAAATGTCCCTTCCCTGGTGCCAGGATAATACACCAGCTTCTAGGAACCTAGATTCAGAGAAAAAGGGAAGATATAAAAGGAGAGTGGGGGAGAATTTTGAACTGTACTGCACATTCTTCTGGAAAATCCTTTTTTAAACCAGAAAAGAATAAGTTGTCTGTATTAATGAACAGTCACATATATTTTCTTTTAGCTTGATAACTGTAGTATTTCAGAAAACAAGAGGCAAGTATTTCATACAAAACATCACATGCCCTGCCCTTGTGTGCACAGTAATTGATGTTCCTGATTTGTTGTAAGAAACCAGTAAGAGCTGATGGCAGGGATGTCCCCAATAAATCCATAATTCACTGCATTGTTGGGAGAAGGTGTGGTGAATAGAGATTCAAAGGTAGGACTGTTAGCTAAAGTACTTCCTCCCAGTCCTGCTCTTTTCCACAAGAGCAGAAAGTGCAGCATGTCACCAAATTGCATATAAAACTCCATCCACTCTACTTCACCTCTTCCTTCTAGCTTTTCCCAGTGCTGCAGCAGGGAAGTGGAACGTCCATGCTCAACAGATTTGGGATAAGAGCGAAGAATTAGGGAAAGCACCCAATGAAAAATATGATTTCTTGTATCACATAAGAGGATAAATACCTACAAATAAACTTTACTATATTATTTGAATGGGACATTAAATTTCATCAGTATCATTATACTGGTTATAAAAACCCTCTTCTGGAATGCCATTCTGGATGGTATAATTCTGAGAAAGAGTAATTCTCTGAAAACAGCTTTGATGGGGTGGTGGTATGTTCTGCCTGAGTAATCTCCAGTGAAAACCATGGTCCGGGCTGAGGACTCCGGACACCTTTTCTGCAATGGCTCAAAATAAAGTGTCCCTTCACTGATTTTCTCAATTCTTATGCTTCAGGCTCTTAGCAATAGGGGTGTTTTTGAGTCCCAGCCTGATACTCAGCTCATAAATATACATCAAGAAATTAGAAGCAATGGGAGGGACCTTGAACTAATTTGAAGATAAAGAGGATGTAATCTCTTTATAGTCTGACGTTGCTTACTCTTTTACCTACAAAACATTTCTCTTGGGGGAGATTTTGGAGACATTATCATTTAACCATAGTGATGGACATATGTCCCAGGCTGACCTATACACTAGATCCCAGAGGGTGGTTCAGAGATGAGTATTAAACCACGAAGAGCCAGCCATGGTCCCCAGTGGTGGAAGATTGCAAATAGTTACTGGTAAAGAGGAGTCCTAAACACTGTAATGTTTATATTAAGTAGAAGCAAGCTTCCAGAGTCCACTAAAAGGACAGTCTGATAGAGAATGAAACCAGGATAGGGTAAAATGGTGGAGCAGAAGGATGAAGAAAAGACAAGATCTGATAACTTTAAGCCCCTGATAACTTGAAGCCCTTGACATAGCTTCACAGGTAGATCTACCCTGAAGTCCTGATATAGGATTGATTACCAAGTTGCATGAGTCAACACCTTTTCTTTATATTATTCTGAGTTCGGTTTCTATCTTTTGCAACAGAGTTAGGTCTTGTAAAACGGTCTTGGGAAGGATTCAGTCAAGAATAAGAAATAGCGTAATGATGGACAGAAAACTAAGCAAGATTGCAGTGGTCTGGGGGAGAAAGAAAGAGATCAGACTAAAGAGGATGAGAGGGGAGGTTAGGTTGGTGATATCACCAGTCCTCTCCCTCTCCCAGAGAGAAGCATTCGTTAGAGTTTCTTTGGGTCTTATCCCAAAGTGTGTGAACCTAGTCTCTCTGGAACAAGGTGAAACATAAGTCCTGCCCAGTCCTTAGATGGCAACCAAAGATTTCAGCAAACTGCTGACAATTCTAGACTGTTGAAATCATGCTTGGCTAGGAAGACAGTGTAAGATAAACTGTGTGTAACATAAGAAGACATTGTGTCCTTCATCATCACAAAATTTATTTACTATATTGCAAAATATGGAGCTGAGGATGTAAGAATCCTAGCCTGCCAAGGAAAAAGAAGACCAACAAGCACACTGATTGCTTCTGTCCTAAATGTATTTGTTCTTCTCAGGTTGTTCCATACTTGTGAGGGTGTTCAGGATAGCACTCAGTTGCTCAGGGAATTTCACCACAGGGATAATTTCCTTTAGCTCTACTTTCTGTTCTTACTCCTATTTGGATAATAAATGATGAGTCACTACTGGGTAGAAGATAGCCTCTCTTTGGCATTGCCTTGTATTCTCTCTCTTGAATCTCCAAAATGAACTAATTCCATATAAAAAGATTTTAACCTGAAAAATGGTATTTTTATTCAAGGTATGGTTTTTCGGTAAATTTTAAATGTGTGCATGAGGAAAATTCATTAATAAACACAAAACTAATGTGTCATTTTAAGTGTCCATGGTGAGTAGCAAAACAGAACAGAGAACTCATGAGAACACTAAGTTAAGACATGCCACTGTCATTGCAATGCTGGTTATTTCTTTTTTGGGGGAGGGGAGTTTGTCCTGCATTCAATTACCTTCCTATATCAAGGTCATCCCCCAAGTGTGAAATACTGGTAGAAAGCAGTATTTTTCAGCAAGCAAGAAATTAGTAGGCCAAGTCCTACCTCTCCTGCATCCCAGTCTCTAGTACTTAGGCATCATTAAAAAAATAAGATCTTTGGAAGATATGGGATGTCCAGTGAGGAACATAAAGTGATGGTGATAGTCTTCCACAAATGCTGGTTATTGTGTTTTTTTTTTTTTATTATTGTGTTTCTTTTTTATTGACCCTTAGAGATACTTTATCCCATCAACACAAATTCTCAAGACTGGGTCTCCAAATTTGTGCTCAGTTATGTGAAATATAAATATAGATATTTCCGTTATTTGCAACCATAACGATTCTAATTTATATCACTAGCACCATCATCACCGCCAGAGAGATGTTACTGCCACACACTTTATGCATCCTCTGGGCCAGTGGCTCCATGGTTGCAACCTCTGTAAAGCCTTGATGCGTGCGAGAGATGGAGTATACACTTCCCCTTGTGTTTGCCTGTGGTTCTCTCCTTTCTTGCTGTCAAGACTCTGCCTTATCTGCAGGTGTCTAGTCTTATGGAGTCCCAGGGGAGTCTCAGGTTCTTCTCTTCGTGCAAACACCAATCCAAAGAAAGTTGATACAGCTATAGGAAAAGCCAGACAGGTAGACTCTAAGGAAAGAAGCATTTCATATATTGTGTATCTTGCACACCCCATCTGGAGCCCAAATTCTCTGTTCTGTGACTCCTCATGGCTATAACTTCTCTGACCTACCCTGGCACACAGACCAAGCCAGATCCTGGCAGTCCACTTTGCCCACAGAGACTATGCTATTGGAAAGAATGAGTCCTGTATCAGCTTCAAACCTGGGTTTTTTCCCTTTTATCTCTCACCCACACACAGTGTGACCAACTCCTTCTTCCACTGAACAAGTTTTTCTTGAGCTC